ACTCCATAAGCCGAAGTCGGTTATTTTAGATAATTAATAAATGAAGAGTTAAAATTGAATTGACCACGTCTTATTCCTGACAGGATTTTAGAGTAGGGAATGTATATTAGCAGACTTTACACATCCTTTAAATATTTATTCCACATACAGATTCCCTCACGATGTTTTCCTTTACCGACGTGTGTGACGATTTCATTGGTACAGGCGGGAAAGGGACTCGTTTTTCTCGCGTATATACTATGAATAGGGAGGAGGCCAGTGCCCAGCATTGGGACGTATATAAGGATACATAGCATTCACTTTAATATGAGACATTTAATTTTAACGTGACTATATACGTAACGATAACGTGATTGAATCGCCTTCGTGTAAGTGCGTAGAAGATAATTCTAAAGAAAGTCTGAGTAACTAGCTTAGCAGATGAGATTTAATTTTTCTTTGACTGGATTTTAAAATGTGTGTTCGAACGTTCTTTTTTCAAAATTTAGAAATTTGGATTAACTTAAACAGAACTTTTCACTGGTAACGGAGAATTCCGAGTATTAAACTCAAAGGTAGATTTTTGCTCGAGGATAGGTTAATATATTATGGGCCACAAGCCATCAACTTATCATCAGGTGTACTCAGTAATCGTTTAACCATCCTTACTTCTAAGAAAAATATATTATTTGTATACTAACTGCAGCTGCCAACCCGTTGGCCAAGCATAGTAACTATGGCCGATATCCTTTTTATGTTTAACAGTGGACTTTGGACTGTAATGATGATAATGGTGATAGCAGAAGTATGGTGGTCTTTTTCTTCGAGAAAGGCGGTAACGCCCTATTGTAAAGCTGCAGACCGATTTCCCTTCTCAGCCGCATCAAACATTACGAATCTTCCAGCATTCCAAACAAGTTGGTCTCTAAAATGACTTTAGTACCACAGATATATACTCTTCGGCAAATTGTACAGAAGACCGATGAGTATAATCTGAAGTTAGTCTTACGTATGTGAATTATGAGAAAGCCTTTGATTCCGTCAACATTTTGCCGGTGCTACAGTCTCTTTAGTGATACCAGATTGACTTTCGCCACATCTTAATGACCTCTTTGGTCTACTGGTGGTAAACGCGACTGATGATCCTCGAGTTCCTCGAATCCTGAGGTCCTCGGTTCGGATTCCGGGTCAGGTCAAAGTCAATTATTGAATTCTTTAGAAAAATTCTCAGTAGCAGGCCGGAGTCAGGAAGTTGGCATTATTACACCCCCATGTCTCGGAAAGTACGTAAAGCCGATGGTCCTGCGCCGGATATCTCTCTGGTCGTTTTGGATTACCGTACCATCGGAACTGCATGCACTTGTGCTTGCGCATACACTCCAATCCTGTCCTGCAAAGATGGATAGTCTCCGTTGAGACTGGCAACTGGGACCGAAATTCGGTCTGAAGGACATTTAACTGTAGGGATATGATGGCTATCTGAGTACAGTAACAGAGTACGAAACCTATCCAACTGCATAGAGGTGTAAGACAGGGTGACGTTATATCTCCGAATTTCTTCACCGATGCGTTGGAAGACGTTGTAAGCTAATGAAATGGAAAAAGTGCGTTATTAACATTAATGGCGAGTACATCGCTCAAATTTGATTTGTCGATGATATTGTACCCATAGTCGAAAAGTTTTAGCGCGATTATCATTCTTAAGTGACTCCGAGAATACAGCGATTCTGCAATAATTCTTAAGTGGCTCCGAGAATACAGCGATTTTGCAATAGTCATTATTGCAGAATCGCTGTATTCTCGGAGCCACTTAAGAATGATAATCGCGCTAAAACTTTTCGACTATTGGTACAATAGCAAATATCGCCTCTATGGGTAATTCATGGGGGAGGTTTATGTTCACCAGGAACTTTTGATAGACTGTAGTGGTGATGGAAGTTAGTAATATTTGTTCTGTTGTTTTGATTATGTTGGCATAGAACAAAAAAATTTCATTCTATACAAAAAAAGACAACAAGACGACATTTCGACATGGTGGAACCATGCTGCAGCTATATCAGTAGTATAGTTGTAGCACGAATGAGTCGGCTCAACCGGGGAGGAACCATGCTCTCACAGAACACCAACGTAAAATAGCAGCTTAACGCTGCTGTGTTTCGCATGGTGAGTGTAGAGTACCGAAGACCCCTTTTACTGGAAATTAGGCATTCTATCTTAATGCTCACGGGTGACAACGCATCTGCATTTTGATTCGTAATCGAGGATAGATGTAGATGTCTATGAGCCGCAGCAATCACTTACTATCAGGTGGTCTGTGTGCTCGCTTGTCACTAATATCCTATAAAAGAAAGTTGGCATAATTCTCGTTCCCCATCCCACTAGACCTATTTAGAGATTTTTAATAAAAATGTATCATAGTCATTAGCCCTTAGGACAGTCTGCCGCTGGACATGAACCTCACTCATAGTATGAATCGTTAGCGTTAATCATAACAGACCCTTGCACTTGACTCTGCTGCTTATCGCACGTCTGGGTATTTTATAACAGACATAAATGAGAGTAGGTACACCACCATCTACCAGAAGCTAAAAGTTCTTTTTGGCATTGATCATAGTCTTATATCTGCCGTTATTGTCTCTCAATGGGTAAAAGACGGCAGGTAGTGACTCGTCGCTTACTAAGGCCGGCCACAAACATACGGAATTCCGTTTCGGGATTCTGTACGGGTCGGCCACGTACATTCGGAATCCCGTTTTGGCCTCAAAACTTCGAACGGAAAACTACTGTACGTGTGTGACGGGTCCTTCATTTTATATGGTTTTGCTGTGTTCGGAACACAAATCGGAATTTCGTAACGGAATCCTGAAACGGAATTCCTAAGGTCTGTGGCGTACATAAATAGGCAACTCACACTACAGTCTTAACTGACGGCGAGTTGCAACATTGGTGTAAACAGCTAAGGGTGTAGGGAGGTGAGTCTGTGGGCTGAAAGATCCCTGTACAGTCAGCATCCTCCCGGCGTTAAGACACTTAAAACTTCTACACATCCACCCTTCAAGCTTAAAGCTTTAGCATTCAGCTCTGACCAAGGTCAAAAGCGGGGAATCACAAACTCCCCAGGAGATCTCGGTTATAGCCTGTGGTGTCCCAACTCACCAACAGCTCGCCACAAGCTGCCCTACGGGCTTATTATTATTATTATTACTGAATAAAAATTATTTAAAAGAATGGTATCAATACATAACTCATCCTAACACTATAGAAACAACGAAAATATCTGTCCCAAGAAAAAATATATTTGAACTTTTATAGACTAGAGGTTTTTTCTTACTATATATTACGTACACGACAGTATTTAAGGTACATTTAAAAGGATTGACTTGTTATTAAATTAATTGAGACGTTGTCAAAAGTGATATTAATGTAAGATAAAATTTGCATAACTAACGTTTAAATTTATCCGAATGATTTGCGCCATATTCGTTGTAATTTAATAGTCGAATAAGTATTAATGTACTTAGATATAAAAATACTGGATATGCTCAAGCATATAATATAGTTCATATATTATGATAGTATATTTTATATGTTAAAATGCTTTTTATTAAATAATGAGATAAATTATGACTTAACGTAACAATATTATATAATTTTGATTTCCTAGTGATGCATAAATTGTAGATCATCATTTTTGCAAATTATTGTATCTGAAGAGTCTAGCTGTGGGCTTTATTCAAGTTCTTGGTTATAAAGATGAAGAACTAAAATATACATAATATCTCTCTCTATATGCGCTTTCGTTAGAGAGCGTGTATCTGACTTCAGAACGACTTGACCGATTGAGGTCATATTAACGCAATATTTTATTTGTTTGAATGCTAGAACTCCATAGGTGGCGCTGTAGTCAAGTTAATAACAACTTCCATATTTTGGGACTAAATTATTCATATTATTTTTTAGATTTTTTTTTATAGAATAAGGGTGACAAACGAGCACACAGTCCACCTGATGGTAAGTGAATGCTGTGGCCCATTGATATCTACATTTATCCTCAATTAAGAATAAAAATGCAGATGCGTTGTCACCTCTGAGGACAAATATGGAATGCCTTGATTCCAGTAAAATGATTTGCCGGTTCTCTATACTCATCACAAACACAGCAGCATTAAGCTGCTATTTTACGCTGGTATTCTGTGAGAGCGTGGTCCTTCCCCGTTCGTGCTGCAACCACAATATAGCTGCAGCATGGCTCTATCACGTATAAAAATAATGGTTTAGTGCGAGAAAGAAAATCACAAATTTGAATTGTGGCGCTGTGGTTGAGGTATCAATGAACTTTATATTAACATTGTAAGAAAATCGGAGTATATTCTTCTCACCTTTTTCTTTTTTTATGCTTTCATAAAGTTAACAATAAAATAATAAATAAATAAGTCGATAGAAGTAAGCGAGTCTCATGTATGGATAGATTTATTAGCAATTGAAGTCTCTAGTGACTATTAAAATGCGCTAGGTCTATTCCAGTCACAAGTGAGCCCCGCGACGTTGAATATCAATCACACAGCAAACAGCCCGCCGATTATGCAGCCACGTGCAGTGGCATATCGACTCACATTAGCATACTCCGTAAATCTTCGCACTATTGGGTGGGCCGGCAAATGATTGTCACCTTTTAAATTTGCATTCATTATCATTCATCATTCATTACCATATCATTATACATTAGTTCAACCCGTTGTTGCCTACTTATGCGCGTTTTGCATGATTAGTGTCGTGATGTTTTCCTTTCGTATTCATCGCGACGCCCCTATTTGTTGGATGCTCGTTGGCTTATTGTTCGTGACTTGATTAGTTAGTCAACTGTATACGCAATTTTAAACTGAAATGCTTTATTCTTACAATCGAAATTTAAATGCACTTTGAAACAGTATCCTATTTCGAATATGTACTAAACATGAAATTACTTTGTCATAAAATTTGAACAAATGTAGAGTTAATTTAAATAAAATGTAAGTACTAACCTTGCCATATTAGAAAGAAGAATCAGCAAAAAAATTATAGTTATCGAGTACTTCAAAAACATCCTGCGCTCTTCACCGTTAAAAATTTTCAGCTTCTTCATGTTGGCAACACTATGTCCTTGTTTCGGGAACTCATCGTTTCCGCTTGCGAAACGTCAAAGTTATTAAAGGATTGAACAGTTTTTTTTTTATATCACGTTAACATAAAGCATCTAAACAGGATACGGTACCATTTTAAAATTAATTTTGAAAATTCCACCTTGTTTCAAACGTTAATATATACAGCAATGATTTTGACAAGAAAAATATCATTCACCGATCCTAATTGTTTATTGTTGAGCCACGGGTGGTTTAGGTTGATTTCACTGACGTTTTGGTTGCGAATATTTTTATATTCGCATCCCTCATTGGCTTGTTTGTTTATATTTGCTCGGAAAGCCGTCGGCGCGTTGCCGTCGGGTTGCTTATACGTCGTGTTTGGCCGCGCATGCCGGTGCGTTCGTCCGCGTGGGACGCGAGGCGTGCTCTTCGCGCCGCCCAGACTTCGGGGAAAAAAGTTAGAGGGGCGTGTGGACGCCTTTCGATACGGCCCCACCTACTCACTCATTATCCTTGTTTACGCGATTATTTTCCTCTGATATTTCGGCAAAGCTCACTCTGATGAGGAATGGGCGCCCGTGTGCACACAGAGCGGTCGCGTTTGACAGTGGCATTGTGTACGCAATCCCTGTCTATATAAAATGCCGCCCCACGCGTTTTATTCCCGATCATGGGAAACGATATCCCGTTGTTTTTGCTTTTGCGGGAATTCAATTTAATTCCATTGGTGTATTTAATCCATTTTGATTTGAGTTATTTCGAAGTTCAATGATGTTTTGATTTTTTAAACTCTTTTAAATATTTATATAACTTAATTACCTATTGATTTTTTAAAAGTTCATTATTTTAAATACATATGTTATAAAATCAGAATTAACAAATCAATCCTTGATTAAATGAAAAAAAATCGTCTTTTTAAATAAATAAGAACAAATAAAAAAGGCTATTGAAATATTTAAAATTATAGGTCATTTAATGAGTAGAAAATAGGGGCTTATTCCACTATTCATATTGACAATAACAAAAAAATAAGGGACACAACCCTTCAACAAGGGTGAATAGTCGCATGCGCAACTACAATTACGTCTAAAGTAATGATTGTGATCGATCTCATCAACCATTTCAAATGAAATACCCATTTAATAAATAAAAATTACCATATTTTTGACAATTTTAATATAACTCACTGAAACATGCACGATAATGAACGTTGCAACTTAATCAAACGAAAGGAGTACTTACTACATAATCGCTCTTGTAGGAATACCAGCGTAAAATATCACCATACTTCTGCTGTGCTTTGTATCAAGGCGTTACATATTAGTCATCAGGGGTGACGTTCTATATGCATTTTTATTCTTAATTGATAATGATGTAGGTGTTAATAGGCCTTAGTATCGTAGTCGAGTGACACAGAAGCGCTTACTCTTCCTAAAATACCTTTTTACCTATTAATATACGGCCTTACTTAGAGCCGTGGTAGCTCAGATGATTAGCGCACGCTGCAAAATCCACAGTACGCGAGCAAAACGGGTTCGATCCCCGCCGGCACTAATGAAGTTGTTAATTGCAAATTTAAGTGCCACGATTTACCACGTGCTTGGCGACGAAGGAAAAACATCGTGAGGAAACCTGCTTGTCTGAGGAATAAGAAAAAAAATATTTCGAAGTCATATGAAGTTCGCCAACACGCATTGGGGCACCGCGGCGGGCACTTCCTTGCCTTAAAACCCTCTCAGAAATGAGGGGAGGCCTGTGCCTACCAAGGGGACGTATTTAAGCTGTAACTTTACTTTTACTTTATGTGGATTTACTGATAATATTGTTGATTAACGCTTACTTAAATTAACTATTAATTAAATCCGTACCTGTTTCCTTCTATTGTCATCAGTCTCTTGGCTAGAACAACTTGAAGCATTTCTTAAATTGACGTTGATTTTATGACTAAGGCCAATAATGTTTTAAACGGTAGAGAAAATATGCTGGAATGAAGTTTCGAAAATTGGGGTGCAATCTGTAAAATCCAGATTTCGAGATAAGAATTTGAGATTTAACGATAAAGCTAGATCCGGCTGGAACACGGGACCAGGGGCCGCGAGATGGTTGTCTCAGCTCATCTCTTATTCTAATAACATTATTAAATGTCCAGAAAATTTCCTTACTTATTACAAGTGACTGTTTTATAATTAAAGAGTTAATGAGAATTATAAGTAAGACAAAACCTTGTCATCGCAATTTATCGACTTATGTTAGACAAGATGCCGCCAAAGTTATTTATGCGCAGACAGGAATTTGTATGTAAATAACATATAGTCGTCACCTTTGATCTCAGTGACACGCGGCACTACTTGAGTATCAGTACTCGCCTTTATAAATAATAAGGTTCTTCAGTCAGTTTGTATTACAGAAGCTTTAAGACATAGTAATGATAAATAAGAAATAATTATTTATTTATTTATAACTGGAATGGCCTTGATAAAAAGTATGCAATGGTCAGACTTAATGCCTTAAACCAATCTTTACGAGTGAACTAACTGAGCGAAAATTTGTATTCGACTAAAATAATTAAAAATTTGTATTTACTAGGAATTTAGAAATAAGAGGAGAACATGCGGCTCAATGACGTTAAGTGACTACCGCCGCCCGTGAACAACTGCTATACCAGGGGAATCGCAGGTATATTGTAGTTGGCCTTTTAAAAAGGAGTAGGCTATTTTCTTAAAGAAGAGAGGTGGTAGCCGATTGCACAAAAAGGTTAATACGTGGTAGAGCCATGCTGCAGCTATATTAATAGTATAGTTGTAGCAGGAATGGGTCGGCTCGACCAGGGAAGAAACACGCTCTTACATAATACCAGCGTAAAATAGCAACTTAACACTGCTGTGTTTCGTATGGTGAGTGTAGAGAACCAGAGAGACCAGACCAGGTGGCCGGAGGCCCTTTTTACTGGAAATGAGGCATTCAATCTTAGTCCTCACGGCTGACAACGCATCTGGATTTTAATTCGCAAACGAAGATAGATGTAGATGTGTACAGGCCACAGCAACCACTTACCATCAGGTGGACTGTGTACTTGTTTTCATCCTTATTCTATAAAAAATGGTCATGCGAGCAAGAAAACTAATGTAGGTGGTACATTAGTTTTATTACTTACCTGTTTTTGCCGCCACTACGTTGTCGTCTGCTGAGGTGTGTGCAAACACCCAACAGGTCTCGGGCCTCGGGGTATCTCCCCCATTACCCGGATCTTCCTCACGGCCCATCTCTATGGGCCGGTCATTGGGAGCCGATAAATTCCGGCATTGTAAGTCTTCCTTTTGTCGCCAAATAGCGGTGCCTGTACTGTTGTGTTCCAGGCTTAACGGTATAGAGGGCCAGTATAATTAGAGCCTGTGAGGCATTCCATCTTAGTCCTTAGACGTGGCAACGCATCTTTAACATTCCGTGTTTGAAGTTTGTTGCAGGTGTAACGGACTGCAGTAGCCATTTACAATCAAGACTAAGTTCGTTTGTCACTTCAATTTTTCACTCAGTTGTCCACCGTGCTCACCTGATTCATTTTAGCGGACTTCACTATACTTGCCCTCGTATATTTTTTTTTTTAGGTAGACGCGTTTCCATACGATATTTTACTGTAGGTAATGCACGTGATAATACCGCAATTAAAATTGCATGTAGTTAACAATATTTTATAAAATAATATAAAATTGCATGTAAGTATAGTATATAGGGCTGGCGGCAGCCCACTAGATGCAGGAACTCAATGGTCGTAGATGACTAGGGCCGTGATTTTTGGCATTTATTGGGGGTGTTTATGTTCAGTAATGTAGTCATGATGCGTTGTAACGATGATGTTGATGATGTCAGCGTTGCTTTAGCGCTATGTAGTGCCAGAGGAGATCGAAGTCTATTGGCTTGCGTACTACAAAATTATAAAGCGAACGCTTATTCCTGCTTCAAATCTGTGTGTCCAACTGTAAAACGTATGTATGTGGGACTACAATACCTCACTTTAAAATTATATATAAAATAATTAACATCATAAAAACAATCAATTAGCGAGTACTTGAGGTATGGAACCAGTAACAAAATTACGTAAAGATTGATAGTAACATGAGTTCGTATGTCTATTATGTTAGCACTTTACGGGACTTAACAATTTTAACAGTGATCGTCATAACAAAATGCTCATTCAGACAGCACGAAGCTATAAAACTAAGGGCTATAGAACGGCGTTTTATGACGTTATAAACACTGTTTGTAACCATAAATGATATTAATAAAACTTTTTTACAAAATTCGTATTTAAATATTATATGTTTTAAAGTTTTTTACATTAAATAAGCTATAAAAAAGCTATTTAAGTTGTCTGTTAATGTTAATTTATAAATTCATCACTTATTCAGCTATCACCATATTTAAAATATGGGTAAATTATATATAGTTTTTACCTATTATAAGCCAGTGCTTAACTTCTATCCCACCTGACGGTAAATCGCACTGTCTGCATTTATAATGTAGGTATTCCACTTTGCCTTGGAGCACATAATCTCATCACATTAGGAAAAGATATGGCAAATACCACATTTTTACTTACCGTTGCATACACGGTATGGTGACAACAATGGACTGGGTGAGCATTTGGTTGATATCTTTAAAACAGGATTTGTAATCGTTATTTTGTACCTTCTACCATTGATATCAATAGTAAAATACTATAAAATTAGGAGCAAAAAAATATTCTGAATATTCTTTGAAAAAAAAATGATATACAAAGTCTTCAAATAGAGTCATTTGTAATTTTATCGCAAACTATTACTAAAAATTGAAGACCAAATGAACTCAAAGACAAGAACGGTAGATCTATCGATCAAAAATAAAAAAGGCCACGCAACTTCAACTACATAAGGCGGTAGATTGGGGTTGAATGGAGAAAACTCGTTTACTTTCAAGGCACAACTATTACAATATTCTACTATTATATCGACAAGATTAATTGCTC